AAAATGTATTTTGTTTACAATTTTTTTTGTGGTACCAAATTACGGGGCGAACAGGTCGTGCGCCTGGTATTAAGCGCAGCATAACATGAGATGCCACTCGGAGCTTTAAAAATCACAAAGATTTGAGAGCCGCTATCACTGCGCACGACATCTGGAGACATAAAAATCACATGTACCTGTAATTTCATCAGTACTCTTACCCTTCGCAAACAGTAGTTGCAGAAATAGGTATAGTGGCAGTACTTCCCTGGACAAACACATTCACAAGGAGCTAAAAGGTTCGGTAAGGCTGTAAGTCGATGTTAATTTAATTACTACTGTATGTATAATTTTTATTTATTTATTATCCTCACTCTTTTTTGTTCCGCTAAATGAGTTTTAAAAACACAGCTTATTTTGATCTGTATTAAAGTGTTTACATCAAATGTTAACGGCGTGTTTTTTATGTAAAATGATATAATTGTCAAATTCAACACATTTAAAGACTCGATAACCGATGGGTGAAACGAGTTCTTGAGTGGAGACCATGACTCGACAAACGTAGTATAACGTCAGAATGACTTTCTGGCCTCCGACTGCAGTTATGATGACCCCCTTAGTCGAGTGGTGTTCGTGGTTTTTTTTAATGATATGAAGCGACGGGATGAACAAGACGTGCGACAAGCCTATCCATAACAGTTGCAGTGCCACTCAGAGCTTTAAATCGCAAATATCTGTGGGGTACTGCCACTACACTGTAGACATAAGTTGACAAGAAAAACCTGTAATGTCACCAGCCTTCGAGACCGGAACGCAGTAATGCTCACTATAATTACACTATAAATATCACTATATTAAGCTGTCGCCATCTTTGAGTGCCATAGAAACTAATTTTTCTCTATTGTCTGGGGTTTATAGTTATACCATAAAGGTATAATCACCAGACCCACGACTTAATCGTCCCGTCACTCGATACAATGAAAATATGTTGTCATGTAATTGTAGTAATTCTGTTTTTTGCCCCTGTTCAAAAGTTCACGACCACGTTAATGGAAATTACGAGGTTGACGATTTGTCAATTTTGTAACGTGCAAATTAGCTACGAGTCAAAAAAATAAGTCGCGCGTTTTCTGGAGAATTTCCGCGGAGTAACTGGAGTTCCCGCTGTGCATGAAGTTAATAATGCTATATACATTTTCATTACAAAAATACAGTAATATTATTTTCCAGGCATTGCTGGAAGTGTAATCATCCGTTATGGGTGAGGCCAGACTAGCGTAATTTTTTGAGTCTCGTAGTTTACGTACAACTGAAATTCAGTTGAGGCGCCAAACGAACCGTATTTTATTCAACTGCGTTTAAGCGTTTGTACGGGGTGTTTTTGTGATATAGTGTAATGGATCCATTAAAAATAGTGTATATTTATAAAGCATTAGAAGATTATGTAAGAAAAGAAGCTGAGTATATCCACTCAATATGAAAATATTAAAGTGTGATCAATGCCATATACTACATGAAAGTTTATGTGGAACATCACCTCCAACGAATGTTTCCCTCACCCCTCGCTCTACACAAACACGTCACACAATGCGACCGAAATTCGTTCGAGGTTTTAAAAAGTAATGGATTTAATTTTTCTGCATATTTTAAGCTGATAAAAGCGTCTTGTGAAAAACAATGGATTTATGTCGTTTTAATAGAAGGCGATGCATATTTTAATGATCAACAACCGGTTCTTAATAAATTAATCAATTGACCTAATTATAATTCTATGTTAATAACTTTGTGATCTAACTTTAATAGTTTGTTTTCATTAATAGCCTTTGAAAGGATGTAAGTAACGCTAATTTAATTTGGAAATTCACCGTTACCTGAAAGTTTATAGCGATCTTATTGCCTAAGCAATTATTTTATTATAAGACATGCTAATTTGTGGGACCGACACGAATGCCTTTGTTTTAGATTATATTTCATAATTAAGACCTTGACATCGATATAATGGATAGAAACCTTACAGGGCTTACGAAGTAAAACAAGGCGTGGACATTAGTAAGGCTTGGAAACCTATTATAGTTTCTAAAAAGGCAAATGACTTGTGTTAGAGTAAGATGGCTTTTCTCGATTGCCTTAGAAGCTATCATGAATGAAATTACATAAAGTAAGAGAACGGACAGAGAAAGAAAGTGAAAATTCTAAAATACTCTAGAAATGTACTTTGGCGCCGGGGCTTATTGGTATTCATTGTTCATCTGTGGGCTTACATTTTCATTCAATATTTTCGTCCTGTATTTGAGAGATGTCCTCTCTAAATTCTAAACTCGCTTCCATCCCAATGGAACGAATTTAAAAAACTACATACGAGGATTCCCGCAGCGACCCCATTGTATCTCTTTTGTACGTTACCCAATTGCACATAAAGTTTATTATGCTATGTATAGCCTTACCTGGCAATAAATATGAATGTTATCGTTAAAGACTGTAAGGGAAAAAGAATACCATAGAAATTTGAATTGATTATGTGATACGTATAAGACGGAAGTGAACAACAAGATGACGGATAATAAAGTTGAATGAAAAATATCAGTAATGATCATCAAGATCAATAAGGTATACGGTCAAGAGGATCGTCCTGTGTTGTACTTGCTGGTTCTATATTCTGTATAGAATGCTGGAGGGATTCTGGCTACATTGTCTATGTCATCAGTGATGCCAGATTAGGCGATTTTTCGCCATTAAGGCTACTTCGGGAGTCGTGCGCGTGCGGCGACTAAAAAATCGTTCGGCGACTTAGCGATATGTAGCTTTTTTTAAACAGGAAAGGGTGATTTTAAGTTAAATAACAAAGTCTAGCCCGTCAAGCTCCTCAGATGATAAGGATATACTTGAAGAATCATCATAATATTAATGAAAGATGATTTAAATTTGACATGCTTTGACTATAAATATGTAGAGTAGTATTTATTAGTAGATCTGATCTTGCGAAAATGATGTAAATAACATTACATACCTGTATAATAATATGTAATTTTTGTTGATTAGTTTCATGAAGCTATATTAAAAAAACGAGCCCTATGCCCTACCTACGGTGGGGTCGGGCTCGGCCTGCGGCGCGTGGTCGGTTTTAGATTACAGGGTGTGCTTATGCTCTTCGTTGGCACAGTGATTAAGTACTATGTGTGCTTGATGAGGAGGTTCCAGATTCGATCCCTGATTTGAACCAAAAAAATATTTTTAAATTGGTCACTGGTCAGGGTATTCTGGGTGCCCTCAGAATTATCGTTACTCAGGATACAGGAAATTCCCTACTTTGAAATCGGAAAATTTTGAGTTTTTTTATTGTCTGGCATTTTTTCCTTAAACTTCTCTTTTTGGCATAGCTTCCAAGAAAAAGAGACGGCCGAGATACAACAACGCTATAAGTATCTTATTTCCACTACATAGGGAAGTATGCCTTACATTTTGAACAATTGTGAAATCTTGTACCGTAATAGAGTCTCCGTATACTACCTACGTAAGGTGGCGTGCGGGCGCTTCGGGCTTCACCCTCCGCTACACCTCGGCCTACGACCGTAAAAAGTAAATTTTTACTGCAAATCATTATTAAACACCCATAAAGATCCCCACATGCCGATTTTCAGCTGAATTAGAGCAAATTTCCATCTGCCGCCAAAAAGTTTGTATGGCAGCTATATAAAAAAATGGGGAAAAATAAATGTTGACTGCAAATTATTATTAAACACCCATAGACTCCCCCACATGCCGATTTTCAATCGAATTAGAGCAAATATTCATCTGCCGCCAAAAAACATTTCTATGGCAGCCATATTTAAAAATGGCGAAAAACCAATTTTCATCACAAATTATTATCAAGCACTCCTAGAGACATATGCCAATTTTCAAAGGGATCTGAGCAATTTTTTTCTGCCGCCAACGAACGCTTCTATAACGGCCATATTTGAAAATGGCGAAAAACTAATTTTGAGCACAAATTCTTATCCGGCATTTCTAGTGGCCTTCACATGCCAATTTTCAGTCGAATCAGAGCAAATCTCTTTCAGCAGCTATTTTTGACGAAAAAAAAAACACTTATATGGCAGCCATATTAAAGCACTCGAAATCATACTCAAGTCCCTGCCATTAGGGTCGTATTTCCAGTGCTTGTGTTTCGAGTGCAATCCTGACTTGAGCATTGAGTAGAGTTCTAGAATACGACCCCTAGACCAGTGCTACCCTCTATGACATTCCCTCGAGCATCTCCTACCTATTTCTAATAGTTTCCGTGATAGGAGGCTTTGAAATTTATATGGCGGCCATCTTGTTTATTTGAATTTCGAAAATTTTTTAATTTACCATTTAGAAATTTACCAGGGTGTATCTCATAAAAATGCACGAAAATCCCCCCCATGTATTATAGTTTTTGCAGGCCGCTGATCACTCGTTTACATTTTCCACATTCAGGTCTTCTCATAATTGATTCTTTGCCTTGAAGCCCATCCGCGTACAACGGTCTAAATATATTTTTTCCACCATATCGGGAAGTATGTGTTCTATTTTTCTAAGTGAGTCAGGATTTGTAGCTTTATATGTATATATAATGCTTTTCAATCTTGTTTGAATCCTTAGCCTGTTTATCATCAATTTAATACAAATTAAAAAGAAAATACAAATTTAGCTGAATGTTTGGGCTTTAATGTCCGATTAAAAAAAATTGGGCGTTTTTAGCCTCAATTGGCGCACATAAACTGGCGAATTAACTTCGCAAATATCTGGCAACACTGTCTCAAATGTTCAAGCCTGCATACGCCAAGCAATATGGACGCATGATGAGCATGATTCGATTCTTGGTAGGAGTAATTAGGAAACAAAGTTGTCTAAATTGGTTCTGGTCTGAGAGTTTTGGGTAGTGCCAACGGAGTTAGTTCCGTTATTCTAATTATACTATATACTATATATATTATTATACAGGGAAGTCGTACTTTCATTAGCGTACTATAACTAACTTAAAATTTTTTGGTTTGCAGTATTGCTGGAGGCGTGCCACAATGACGCCTCGTGCCTGTCGGACCGCGCCGGCCTGGAGGCGATCACGCAGCTGCACAGGCAGCTGGATGACGACGCCAATGGAAACGTGGACCTTAGCGAAAGCGACGATGTAAGTAAACATTACACACCATTAGCTGCTTATAAATTTGTACAATTCATAAAAGCTAGCACGCACAGAGATTCTATTTGAATATCTGGAATGCCAGAATCGTTTATTTTTCTCTTAATGGATGGCAGTTGCAGATTTCCATTACGTCTATCATCTAATAGGACATTGACAAAATGGAAAAACGCAGCGTTCAGCATCAGAGCAATGAACCTGAAAATAAACCTTATTCTTTAGAATAGATAAAAATCCATCAAACATGCGTTTAACTTATTAAAATATATTGTTTTTAATCGTCCAATACTCAATACTTTATTGCATTCCCAATAGTTTACAATGTAGCAGGTGGACACGCTTAAATTAGAGCTATGGGACCATGTTGGGCACAGCAAAAACACACAGAGAGAGCAACATTTAACAAATAAAATCTTAAGAAAACCTTACAAGAAACAAAATACAATTTATACAAAAAGACAACTCTTAAATCTCAAATAAAAACTATTATACTATAATAATTATTTTGAAAGATTAATAAATATCTATATATGCTATTAACAAAGACAATAAGATTAATAATAATAACAAAATATTACGGTAGCATTAATGCCTAGTATTTATACACGTATGCTAACTAAATACACTGTGTACATTCATTATTTTAATAAGAACATATTTCTTTATCGTTTAAATATTCGCTTACTTTGTAATAACTTTTACTTACTTACTTACTTTTTACTTACTTAATTTTTTTTCAAATATGATATAAAACTGTTGTCTCTGGGTATTTATTTTATGGAGTTTGGTAACTTATTATAAATTTTTATAGACATTACAAATGGATTTGTTGAATGGAGAGAAAGAGTTGAATTTGGTAACATAAATCTGTTTTGGAGTAGAAAACAATAGTTTATTATAGAGATTAGGATATTTTCTGACAAACTTACAAGATTCAAAAATGTAAATGCATGGTAAAGTTAAAATGCGAAATCTGCTGATTTTAGATCTTAATTTTTGAATATGTAGTTTCCAATTGACACGTGTGTCTAAAACTAAGCCTAGCAAAAAAAGTCAATGCTAGCAAAGTATATTCTTGAACGTAATCTCTAAAGTCCAAAATTTACTTATATTTTAATGAGATTGAATGGTAAAATAAATATTTTAATTTAACTTTACAAAACCACGATAGTTATTTACCGTATTTGAGTCATAATGTTGGAGAATGGCTCCAATGTTATCACCAATATTCCACTCCAAAGAAGGTTTGTCATACTCGTCATGTTTGGAGACTGCAATATAGCTGCCAAGCGAAGCACTCGACCATCACCAGAATATAGATTGTAAGGCTTTCGTGGTTGTTCACTAAATGACTATCACTAATTAATTAGGGATGTCGTTTTCTTGAAGTGTGACCTTGATAACATCGATACATCCTTTATTGGTACATTTGTGAAAAGAGACTCAACTTTATATATAACCATTGTCTCATTAACTGTAGTACTTTTTTGAATCTCAATAAAATACCTGGAGTCCAAAAAGGAGGTCGTCATGTACGAGTTACATATTTCGCAATGTAGGTGAGCCTATCTGACTCAGTGTTGCTCGCAATCGTACGTTGGTTTTGTGGACCTTAAAACCTCGTTAGTTGCGTGATACGTGGACGTAACAGCTGTTTTGTCAACATTATCTGCAATAGCTCCCGGCTCTTGACAACAATGGGGTATGTTTGTCGCTTCACTCAGATTTATACGTTGAGTCATTTTTCAGTGAAGCTTTTATTTGAAGATTTTTTTATATCATAGACATCATAAATAACCAACCAGAAACTAAACCAGAAACCTGTAATTTGTGATAATTCATCATCAGATATTCCTATGTAAATTTCTACGCGAATCATGAAAATATGTCGGCTTTTTCCTGGTTAACTGTTGTAACTAGTTATTGGCCATTAAGAATTTTTTTCTAGGCGTGAACGTAATACGTTATTTTCTCCTATAGCTGCAAGTCGTGGCAGTATCGTTTATGTTTATGTCTCGTGAGTTCATGTTCATATAAAAAAAGTTTTATGAGTGGAAAATGTTTGCTTTTGAATGCTGAGTAAGACCATCATACATCTTACACAATTACGACATAAATGTTATGTACAGTAATTAGGGAGAAATGAGGTAGTTTTATTCATAATCTTAAACATTTCAGTATTTTTTTTACATTACTAAGCGTTTGAATTTCAAATAAAGGATCCTTTAGCAAAAATAAAATACTATTATAGCAAATAGGCGCTTTGTCGTCGAGTTGCTACCAGTTGAGATACCAGCCCGTTGCACCAAGTACCAAGTACCAAGTACTATTATAGCACCTCCACCAAGCACGAAGTGGAGGTGTCAAATAAAACAGAATAGAAGAACGTCTGTTATCATGATTCATTATACCCAACTCAAATAATTTTATTTTATCAGTGTAAGCAATGTACACTTTTTTTTAAATTTATTTAATATACTTGAAATCGTTATATTGATTAAAGACTACTGCCCATTCGTGAAGCAGACTTCCTTGAGGAGAATGAATAAGGAACTTTCGGGGTTGCTCTTTGTAAATAAACGTTTGTAACTATTTATCATTTACAATATTTATTTGAAATATCATAGACCAAGACAATCTGCTAGAACTCTTCATTTAACTTAAGGTCACTGACATGGATTTTTGACATCCAAGTACGCAGAAGCTGTATAATATTAATAACCCGAAGTGTACATTTTTTTGTTTCGCTATACTTATAAAGCAAATTTTTATTCTTGGAATTAATACCAATGTTTATCACTATATTATACTATTCATAAGTGTACTGTGACGCTAGTGTAAGAATGTTAACTAGGCGGCAGTGAGTAACCTGCCAAGCATTTTAACCCCAAATAAAAGGTCCCTTGTCACCAATAAGACACTATTATAGCACCACCACCAAGCTCGAAGTGGAGGTGGCGAACAAGACAGAATACAAGACCATCTGTTTACATGATTAATTATGCTGGGCAGCGGCAGCGAGCAAATTGCCAAACATTTATATGCCAAATAAAGGGTTCCTTGTCCCAGTAAGACACTATTATAGCACCACCACCACCAAGAGCGAAGTACTGTTGTCAAACAATATAAAATACAAAGCGTCTGTTAACACGATTCATTATACTGAGCACCGGCAGTGAGTAAATTGCCAAGCATTTGAATCCTATATAAAAGGTTTCTTGTCCCACTGAGACACTATTAAAGCACAATCACCATGAATGAAAAGGAGATGCCAAACAAGACAGAATGCTAGAGCGGCTGTTAACATGATTAATTACGTTATGCACCGCCAGTGAATAAATTACCAAGCATTTATTTCCCAAACAAAAGGTCCCTTGTCCCAACAAGACAGTATTATGCCACCACCGCCAAGAACGAAGTGGACGTGTCAAACATGATAGAATACAACAGCGTCTGTCATCTTGACCAATCATGCTGGGGCACCGGTAGTGAGCGGCGGCAGGGCTACGGAATCAGACACGTTGTATTTTTAATCGATGATGAATTGTTGGAAGTTCGCGGGCGTTGCGAATAAGTGCGCTTTGCCAACAAACATTGTTTTTGACGATGATCTTACGGCTAGGCGGCAGGCGGCGAGCGGAGCGGTTTGCTAATGTACCAAACTATGTCTATAAAGATGTCTATACATCTTTTAAAATAATGATAGAAGTTTATGAAAACTTATTTTATTATCATGAACAAGATGGAGTTTTATCATTTATCTATGACAGACAGATTTAAATATCCTATACTGTAGTTAGTGTTATATAATAATAGGGGTTAAAGTATGAAATTGCCGATTTGTACT